TAGATAATTTTCTTAGAATAGCTAAGTAGATATCCAAAGATCCTTCAACATAATTATGTTTACCCTCCTTCCTAAAAACTCCAATTCCCCTGCCTCCCTCATGTGCATTTGTGTGTATGTGTATGTATGTTTGTATGTAGGAGATATACATTCAGGTAAGTTCACATGTATGTGGGGATGTGTATGTATATGTGTGTACACATGGGAAGGCCAGATGTGAACCTCTAGTATCATTCCTCAGAAATTGTCTAACTTGGTTTTTGAGTCAGAATCATTAGCCTGCAACTTAGCAAAATAAGCTCACCTGGTTGACCAGTAAGCCCAGGGAAGTTCACAATTGTGCCTTTCCTATGAGCATGTGCCTCTGTACCCTGTTGTTTTACATGGGTTTTGGAGATCAAATTCTGGTCTTCATGCTTATTCAGCATTTTACCTACTCCGCTATCTCTCTAGCCCAGTGGTTCTCAACCTCCCTAATGCTGTGACCCTTTAATACTAGTCCTCATGTTGTGGTGACCCCCAACCATAAAATTATTTCTTATTTCATTGCTACTTCATGACTGTAATTTTGCTACTGTAATGTAATGTAAACATCTGATATGCAGGATATCTGATATATGACCCACCCAAGGGGGTCTTGACCCACAGGTTAAGAATCACTGCTCTAGCCCCTCCAAGTTTTCTTACTTGTTTAAATACATTGGCTACAACTTCCAAAAACAAATATGGGGGGGGGGGTCAATTATAGAACTAGCTGGTCTTTGTAGGTAGGTGTTTGTAAAAATCTATGGGTGCCCCATGGTGAGGAATGAGAGTACAGTAGTGTCTGTTGTTAGGACCGTTCAGACCTCTCCAAAAACTTAAAGGAGCACCCAAAACAATCGGGCTTGGGCCTTTCAAGCAGATTTGTGTCTCTTTAACACTGTCTGTTTTGCAGATGTTCACATTTCTAAGTCTACTGTTCGGGGTTATGATTCTCCCGAAGTTTAAGTCTTTCTCCCCATAGCCACAGGCCTTCCTCCTGAACAAGCTCTAGGACTTCCTTCTACTTACTATCTATTATTAGCAGAAGTAGCACAGTAAATGCATCATCTCTGCTTCCATCTTTGTTGCTTAGATGCTATCTTCATCAGTGTTCTACAGCTGGGAAGAGACACCATGACCACGGCAACTCTTGTAAAGGAAACCGTTTAATTAGGGCTGGCTTACAGTTTCAGAGGTGTAGTCCATTATCGTCATGGTGGGGAGCATGGCGGCATGCAGGCAGACATGGCGCTGGAGAAGGAGCTGAGAGTTCTACGTCCAGATAGGCAGGCGGCAGGAAGACAGAGTGACACTGTGCCTGACTTGAGCTTCTGAAACCTCAAAGCCCATCCCCCAATGACACACTTCCTCTAACAAGATCACACCTCCTCCAACAAGGCCATAAATCCGAATCCTTTCAACTAATGCCACTCCCTATGAGCGTATGCAGCCATTTTCATCCAAACCACCACAGACGCTGTTTAAAAAGAGACAGAAGTGGCTATTTATGTGCTTTGATTATTTTTACACTTAATTATAATTGCAATTAACTGTCTTTTGAGAACAGGACTGGCCACGTGCCATGACACTTAATTGGAGGTATCTCACTGTCACTACTTTCTGACTTAATTTCTAACTAAGGATGCTAATAATTAGAAAATAAGCATATGGCCATTTCATTTTTCTTCCTTTTAAATTTCAATATTCTAATTGAACAATAGGAATAGCTTATTTTTATATGGTATAATATGATGCTTGTACATGTTTACATTGTAGAATAACTAAATCATGCTGTGCCGGCTGATTGTATGCCAGGTTGACACAGCTATGGTTATCTAAAAGGAGGGAAAGTTAATTGAGAAGATGCCTCCATAAGATCTGACTATAAGGCATTTTCTTAATTAGTGATGATGGGGGAGGGCCCAGCTCATTGTGGGTGGCACCATCCCTGGGCTGGTGGTCATGGGTTCTATAAGAAAGCAGGCTGAGTAAGCCATGGGGAGCAAGCCAGTAAGCAGCACTCCTCCATAGCCTCTGGATTAGCTCTTGCCTCCTGGTTCCTGCCCTGTTTGAGTTCCTGCCCTGACTTCCTTCAATGATGAACAATGATATGGAAACAAGCCAAATAAACCCTTTCCTTCCCAAGTTGTTTTGGTCATGGTGTTTCATCACAGCAATAGAAACCCTAAGACACAAACTAAGTAAAAAATGCATTATCTCACTGATCTAATGAGTAGGATTTTAATTGTTTTGATTTTAGTTGCAGGTTCCCAGACACAACACTGTGACTAGAGTCTATATAGTCTCTTCTCCTGAGGCAGCATCTCCCACAGATAGTGAGGTTAAGTACATTGCTTTGATCTTTTCGGATCTTACTTATCTAATAAAGCTGTCAAATATTCAGTATATTAAATTTCCCATTACATGGAAACAATTGTTCTGCCTTATTGTATTATTCTTGTATTTCCAAGACTTTTAGCCTTATGTATTTGATGCATGGTGACATAAAAATGGTATTTTTCTAGTCCTGCTGGAGAAGTAACTGAAGCCTAAGCAGGAAAAATTAGAAATTCAAGGCCTGCCTGGAATAGAGAGTGAGTTCAAGTTAGTGAGACTCTGTCTCCATAAAAGAAATAAAAAGACCTGAGAATATAACCCAGCAGTAGATTACTCGTCCAGTGTGTATGAAGCCCTAGACTCAATCACCAGTATCAACAGCCCAAAAAAATGTATTTTTAAAGGTTTTGAAGTTTTAATTAGAATAAAATTACTCAATTTGTTATTTAAGATTTGAGGTCTTGAAAAATTATTATTAAAACACCCAACCTGATTTTTATGATAATTTCTGCAAATGATACCCTGCTAGGGCAATTATTTTTAATCTTTTAGATCATGCACTTTTACATGTGTCTCTTTTTAAAAGTATACTATTGGATTGACAAAATCCTAACTGGACCGTGATATTGACTGTATCTGAGGAGCTTCCTTTTAATGAAGACTTGATTTAATTGCTCTTTTCTTTCCTAGAAAGTGCTCTCTGTTTATTTTATTGGTGACATCTCTACACACACACACACAAAAAAAAAAAATCTGAGCCCCTAGTCTGAGACATTGAGTAGTCAATTCCCTTACTCCTTGAATGGATTTTCCAGAATAAATAACAAATAAATAATATAATAAATAAATAATAATAATGAATAAATAACCCAGAATTCCTGATCCAGACTATCTAGGAGCAGTAGTTTCACATTTCAGTAATTGTGTCTATGCTCTCATTGCCTTTGGATAAACAAATTCACAGAAGTCACTGAGACTCACAGTACTACAATTCTCAGTGCCAGAATGTCAATACCATAGTATCCCAAGCTCTCGCTTTTCACTTTAATACACCTCCTGTTGAATCCAGGCCCACCCAGAGTTGGAAATTAAACATATACTTGGATTCTCTACACCTTGAACATTTAATGTACCCATTGAAATAAGTGGGTCCGGTGAGCTCTACCTATGGTAACCCGGAGGGCTCCGAGAGTTTTACTTACCGAGTTGAACTTCAATGGAGTTGTTTTTTGGATATGTGATATTAGGAATCCTTCCTCCGGACACAACTTCCTCTGATAAGAAATCACACCCACAAGAACCACTCATTAGAACTACAAAGAAAATAATACACTTCCCAGAAACCCAATGTAATGGCATGAAGCACAGTGAGAGAAGATCTTCTCAAGCACTGGTCAAGAAAAAAAAAAAAAAAAAAAGCCAAACTCAAGAGTATGACATTCAGAATAACTGTAATGTTGCTGCATTCTGTAAAGCTCTTCACTTCGTTATTCAAGAGTAGAAGTCATCATCAGCTAGCTACCTACTAGATCACATGCATGTCAAATCTGGAGGTCATTCCAGTCAACAGCTTTCTCCTCATCCTCTTCCCATTCCTCACCACACAGCCCATCACACATTACCTCCTAAATTTTCAAAGGCTGGGCCTCTGTCTTCACTTCAGAACCATCTATTTTCTATTCTCTAGTCCTTTTAGACCAGCTTACCCACTCACATCTTGAATTACCATCTAAAGTCCAATGCCCAGAAAGACTTAACTCCAGGACTCACTCTGCGTTCCAGAGCCACAGAGGTCATGGCCTATCCTATCTCTCCCCTTGCATGCCTCGTGATCAACCTGCTAAAGACCAGACCTCTCCTACACCTGCTTTCTCCTTGAGCTATCTTGTCTCATTGATTGTCACCTCCTATCCAGCAGCATATGCCCAAAGGCCTAGAATCCATGAGTCCTTCCTTCCTCCCTACTCAATTAACTCTAAGAGGTGTGTTTTCCCCCTTTGGAGATGCTGTGATTGTATCTGGATCACCCCATCAACCATATCACCATGGTGCCTCTGCCTGCATCATGTCTCACCTGTACTTCTGCACCTGCCTCCTAACCACTGTCCTCTTCCTAGAGGAAGCATCGGCACAGTGGCCAGCCGGCTGCTTCAGAAATAAAAAGCATCCCAAGCTGTTCTCATGTAATCAACCCCACTGGCTGCTTGCCATGTTCTGAGAAGAAAATCCACATTGCCCTGTTTGGGATTCAAGTTCCACCTACCCCTCACTCCTGACTGATCCTCTAACCTCATTGCCTGTCATGATCTCATCAACCAAGGCCAACTTGCCTGTTATACATCCTTCATACTCAACATGGTTCCTCTTGTGGGGCCTTCACAGCTTCTTGGTCTTCTGTCTGTAAATACCTTGGTCATTCTGTCAATCTATAAACTCTTTTTTGTCTATCGGCATGCAATCACCTCCCCTATAATGCTACATCTCATAGTGGATTGTCTACTGTCTCTGCCTCTGCTGCCTCACAGACTTCAAGTTTCATCATGGCAGTACACAGATATTTCTTCCCTTCATCATCATTTTCTCTCTACCTGGCTAAGGCTAGCCTTTCCTATGCCCTCAGTTAAGAGTCACTGAATAACCATTGCACCCAAGCTGAGACTGTCAAGACTCTCTGGATGTAGGTTTGATGTCAGAACCTACTGTGCCTTCTCATTAGTCCCATGTCTCTTCCTTTTAGGATACTAGCACTGCACTTATGAAAACATGTATTCAGTATTCAAAAAGAAATTGAGTTCTTAGTGTTTGCCACTCTAGTTCAAATGAATAAGTGTTTGGGTTTGGTACCAGTAATTGTAATATCTAAAAGTGTTCTCTTATGATATTCTGTGCTAAAATATAAATAAATAACTTCTGTAAATTTTGTCATTAAATTTAATCTACTGTAAAAAAAAAAAAAAAAGACTGTCTGGACGATGTTACTGTGGTATCCTAGGTGGTCTCCAGGCCTCAATGCTTGTTTCAACCTCTCCTGCTTCAAGCCATCCCATGGTCAGTTTCTCCCATTACAAAGCAGCCTCATAATTCCCCACTCATGGTCTCTCAAAGGCCTTTCAGTGTGAAAGGTTACAGATGGGTGGTCACCTGAAATTTTTCCCAACTTGAACTCAGCTCCCAACCCTCCTCTTCCCTGACACGCTTATACTGTAGTGAAATTCACTATGGAACCAACAAGAACCATGGTGTCTGATACTGTTGCCCTTGCCTTATCTGTGGCTAGAGAGCTCTTCTTATTTTCCTTTATGGTTTAAAGATCCGTCTGTCTTTCCAAATCCCACAGGGAACTCATTTCCTCTTGGAAGTCTGTCCGGCCTGTTGGTTTGCCAGTCTTCTAGTTCCTTCTGATTGTTCTCTGTTACCTAGAACATGAGCTATAATTCTAATTTTAGCACAGGAGGCCCAAACAGCCCCTTTGTAGCTTTGAACTCACTACCTGTGGATCTGAGGCTTCCCAATAGAAGAATTACATATTTAATTTTTTAATTATTAGTTTCAAACATAATTCTAAGCATATAACAGACCATGGATAAATATTCATTCTACTGATCTGGCATCAGGACTCTTAGATCCAGCACCTTCTTAGAAACTTATCCTTTTAAGAAATGTCCTCAGCTACTCATGTCAGACTAAAGCATTGTGGCCATCAATTATTCAGTCAACGAATGGATCTATTACTAATAGAGAGCGGGGATCCAAATAAGAACAAGATGAGGGGCTATTTCCAGAAGACACCATCAGAAGGAGAGCCCAAGAGCAGGACAATCACAAAACAGACTGCAATTTGTTTTCTTAATGAAGAGATAGAATATTAAAATTGAAGACAGTCCAAAAATATTTCAATCTCGTGAGTAATTTCAACAACAACAACAACAAAAAAAAACCTAGTGCAAGATAAGGCAGGAAGAGCCATGTTGGGAAGGACAAGGCTAAGATACAGAGGACTGGATCTCTGTAATAACGGGTCCACCATGAGTTGCCTGGAGAGGCTGCAGGTGGGCAGCAGGAAGCCACCATGGGAGCAGATAGCCAGGGCCCATGAAGCAAACAGCAATATTTAAGTAAACTTACTGATGCTCACAGCGATGTAATTTCTAACCATGAACTGTCTCCCCAAGTGTGTGAGTCTGGCCGTGCACGAATAGCTCCCACGGTCCTCTGCAGCGACATTGTTCACAAGAAGCTTTGTTCCCGAAAATGTATACTGCTTCCCTGGTTTAATCTCTTCACAACCCTAAAGACACACACATGAGAATTGAATGAGGACTGGGAAATGCTAGTTGCTGTGTTAGTTAGCATTATTCTATGAGCTCCGGGGAGACATAACTTCTATATTCACATGGTCACCGACAATTCAAACCTTAGTTATTAACAATCTAACCAGAAGACAATGCATAATATATACCAGATAGATGCTAGGTGGATGGGTAGATGGATGGATGATGGATAGATGGATGGATGGATAAATGGATGGATGGATAGATGGATGGATGGATGGATGATAGATGGATGGATGGATGGACAGTAGATAGATAGATAGATAGATAGATAGATAGATAGATAGATAGATAGATAGATAGATAGATAATAGACTGATGGATGGATGGACAGTAGATAGATAGATAGATAGATAGATAGATAGATAGATAGATAGATAGATAGATAGGACAGTGGGATTAATGAACAAACAGATTAAGGCTGTTGTGCTAGTCAGTTTTCTGTCACTTTGACAAAAACACTTGACATAAACAACTTAAAGAAAACATTTAATGTACGTGTGGCTTCAGAGGTTTTGCTCCATCATGTTGAGAAGTGTGTGGAGGAGCATCAGAGAACATACTAAGGAAGCCAGGAAGTAGACAGAATGTCTGAACTAACAGACCTTCTCTTTTTCCTGGTGATTTCATCTGGAACATGGCCTATGAGATGGTACCACCCACATCCAAGGCGGGTATTTTCCCCTTAATTAGTCTTCACTAGAAATGCCCTGAGAGACACACCCAGAGGTGTTCTTTAAAATCTTAAGCATTTCTCAATCAAATTCAGTTGACAACATAGAAAGAGAAAGAGGGGGGTGGACATTTATCACTTGTTCTCTCTCTCTCTCTCTCTCTCTCTCTCTCTCTCTCTCTCTCTCTCTCTCTCTCTCTCTCTCTCTCTCTCTCGTTCACATACAGAAACCAGAAGTCATTATCAGGTATCTCCCTCAACTGCTATCCACCTTGTTTTTTGAGACAGTCACTGACTTGGCTGACTGGTCATCAAAACCCAGGGATCTGGCCGTCTCTGGTATCTGCCAGTCTCTAGTGCACCACTACACCCAGCTTTTTATGTGTTTATTGCGGGAGGGGTGGGTCAAACCAAGGTACCTGTGTTTTTAAGACAAACATCTTACCAAGGGTGCCACCTTCCCTGTTCCCAAATCTCAGTTTATCACGCTAATCATCTTCACCTCACGTACCCACTTCCGGACTCTTGCCCAAGCCTGTTCCCCTTCCTTTGGGAAACCCCACTCCACAGACAGGCTGCTCGACTAGTTAAGTCCATTTTTTTTTGTTCAAATATTTGAGTTTCTATCTTTCCCAGCACTGTGAGAGACTTCAACAACAGGGGAATTAGACATTGTGACTGTCCTCAGGAAGCTCATAATCTAATATATAAAACAGATAAAGTCCTAATTCAATAAAAATGTAACTGAGTCAGTGTTACATTCTCTCCAGACTCAGCCAGCCACAGATGAGTCCTTATTCTCCAGTCCAGAACAAGGAGAATAAATCTATTTTGCAAGCAAAATTCAATTTAAAAAAATGTCAGAATAAGTACATGATTAGTTACAATGTGCAACATGTCTTCTTCCTAGATTTCTTACATTGCTCCAATAGAATATAAGAAAACTCCAGTTATCATTTGACAATTGTTCACCAAAAGATGGGAGCTACTATTAGGAATCAGAAGGATGAAAGCATCAGCCCCTCATAATAAAATTGCTACTTGGAATACAAAAGGCATTCGAATGAGTGTTGGGGAAAACCAGGTGTTTCATAGTTAGCAATGGGGTGGGGACATGACATCCACATTTACATGGTCCCATAGAGCTTAGATTATTTACAGTCTACATCTACTAGACACATTAAAGCTGACCTCAGAGGCAACAAAATCTGTTGGTGTTACGTTAACGGGGAAAAAAATCAACACTTACCCTTGGATTAATTTGACCAAGAGCAAACTCAAGTTTGAATTCTCTGCTTCTCTCCCTGTGTCTTCTGTCTGTATATAGTTTGGGGTCTGGGGCTTGTCTTTAGTTTGCAGTTACGTGAATTTCATATTTTTTAGAATATTTCAGAGTACAGAGTCACAAATTTTGAATGCTTTGGATTTCAAAAATCTCTTTTCTGTGTAGACTTAACTGGCGAGTCCCTGGCTAGGCACAATCTGTGCTGGGCTTCATGGTTGAGCAGTCCCCCTTCTTACTCATTCTCTCTTCCACATATCCAAATGATCAATCACATTAACATTTAACCTCACAGTGTGAGGGTCGTCTTGCCCCATTACAGTGACTAACAACACCTTTTTTCCAATCTACTGGGGTGTACAGACTTTCTGTTGGTTTGATTTTTTTTAATTTCAGGGGATATCTCATTATCAAGATTTAAAGTATAAATAATAACAATAGCAGCCATCTACTGTTTTCCAGTTAGATTGTTATGGAGGTGCATTATTATGGAAATATATCTTATATTCTAAGAGAGTGGAATTTTTTTTTGAAGTGTACAGCCAAGTTACTAAGGCACCTTAAGATCTCTTAAGATTTAACCTGATGTCCTTCTGTGTCCTCAGCCTGATTGTATAACCTACCTTTAAAGAACACGTAACAACCAGCCTTACTTGTCTTGGATTTCCATGCATCAGCTTTTACAACATAACTAATACATAGTAGAAATTTCAAATTACTACTCCTCCTCACCCAGAGAGGAATGCATGCATGTATGCATGTTGCAGTAGTAAATGCTGAAAATATCAAACATGTGTAAAGAGACCTTTGGCAACAAATATCTAACATAAACATTGGAAATAGCATCCAGATATAACTTGATAATGGTATGCCTTCAGTACTGAGTGCTTTGGGGTCAAAGCTGGAGTCAGTGACCCAATCCCTTGTAAAATTCCCTTAAAGAATTATGTTAAGTATCCCTCATTCCTTTCCCATATGATGCTATAATGTTCAATAAATACAAAGCAAAGCTCCTTGTTGGAGACACATGGCAAGAGACAGTAAGACATCAAACAGGCACAGATAGACATAGACACAAGGATGGATTCAGACTCAACAACAAACAGACTAATGACAACCCCAAAACCACAAACTAAGACAGACAGAAGACACAGGAACAAAAAAGAATTCAAACTGGAATTGGCTCCTGGTCAAATTAATCCAAGGGTAAGTGCTGAATTTTCCTTCCTTTATGTGTCACCAAGACATTTGAGTACCTCTGGGTATGTCTTTAGCATATTTAACTAATGCAGGTTGTAAATAATCTAAGCTCTAGGGGACCATGTAAATGTAGATGTCTTATCTAGTCATAGTTCACGGGATAATGACAACCATGAAAATACTGGTATTCACCAACATGCATTCAAATACGTTTTCTACCTCTGGCTCAGCAAGTACAATATTTCCCAAATGCAAAATGTTCCAGAATATTCTAACTAATATGCACTGGATATAAAAAGTCTGGTGAAGATGAAATCAATAAGACAGGCAGGAGTCTGGTCACCAAAAATGACAGAAAAAGAAAGAATAGCTGGAATGCTACTGCCAAGAGAACAAGAGAGCCACATTGGTGTTTGAGGGTTAAAATGGGCCATTCCCAAAGACTGGGAAGCAGTTTAGAACACCATTCCCAAAACAAGGCCGAAGTAGAGATCACAAGAAGAAAGCAAAAAATCAACAATGTAGCTTAAATTTGAAACAGGGATGCTTCATGGCCTCAACTTGATCTAAATTAAAAGGAATGGAAGGCACAAAGGAGAACCAAGGAATGAAATGATCAGACAGAGGCTTCACAGTGGTGGTGTTTGACTTGACGGGGTTACCAGCAGCACTGAGAACTTCAGCCATGTGTCGGTAAGTTACGGAAGAGGACAAATACAAATTACAGAGTTCGGGCTGAGCAGCTGGCTCAGTAGTTTAAGGGTTTGCTGTGTGAGCTTGAGCATCAGAGTTTGGATCTACAGAAACCCAGCTAAGGGTCAGGTGGGGGAGGCCACTACCTGTAATTCCAGCTTCAGACGGCAGAGGCAGAATCTTTCATAGTTAGCTCATTAGCAAGGTTAGCTGCATAGGTAAGTGCTGGGTTTGATTAAGAGACCCTCCCTCATTGAATAATGTAGGGGAACAATGGAGGATGAATCTGGACACCAACTTCCTGCACACACTTGCACACATACCCACGTGCACCCACACACATGAAAAAACATACATGCAAAATGGAAAAAGAAAAAAATTATAGAGAGACTTGAATATCACAATAGCTACACTTAAGCAAACTGGTGAATTTCATGGAAGGTTTTACACACCTGAGAATAAAAGGAGTATGTCGGAAAGGATGCCAGGAAGAAGTACCCACTAAGGCACATGCACACAAAGTAACTGAGAACAGGAAAATGCATGTTAGATGTAGAAATCACATTAAAAAAAAAACAGATGAAATATATAGTTAATTAGAGTTCCAAAGGAGCTAGTAACTAAGGAACTAAGGAACGTGGAGGAAATACAGAGCAAGCTATAATTTCAAAAGGCATGTGCAGAATAGATGAGAAATCTCTATCTCAACTCACTGGAGCCACACTATTAAACTCCAAAGTCGAAGAGAGTATTTTCAAGGATTTCAGAGATTGAGGCCTATCATCTTCAAAAAGGACAGGAAGACAAGAATAAGAAAGGTGACCCTGTCCATGGAGCATGAAAAATGCTGGAAATCATAAATCATTGAATAATATGTTCAAACTGCAGAGTGAAAATAAATGCCAATCCATGAATATAGTACACAGAAAAAAATTAAAATAAGAACATCTTCAGAAAATGATAATTCACACTAAGAAAATACATGGGTGATGTTAGTTGGACACATATACTATACATAGTTATTCCATGAGCTGGAGAGTTGGCCCTGTGTGAGGGTTAAGAGCTCTTCTTGCTCTTTCAGAGGACCTGGTTCGGCCTCCAGCTCCTACAGCTGAACACACAGTCATTTGTAACCCCAGGTCCAGGGGATCTGATGCCCTCTCCTGGTCTCTGTGGGCACTGCATGTGGGATACATTACATTCAGTCAAAACACTGAGACACATAAACTGAAAATAAAGAAATCTTTAAAAAATATTTCCATGCACAAGCTCAGAGATATTGGTTAGACTATAGATGAAGAGAAAGTTCTATGTTCGGGGAAATTCTAAAAGAATACTGATTAGGTATAGCAAGAACGTCTTTGGGTATTTAAATTATCAGGAAATTAAAATCAGCAGCTACAGTAGCGTGTAAGCCAAAAAACCTTTTAGGGAGGGTTTAAAACATGGCAGTCTTTCATTTCTTTAGAATGTGATAAAATACTATTTCATATCAAATGGCAATAATTGAAGGCTGACTGGGGATGAAGTAACCAGTCAATAATTGTTGGAGATGTCCACTATGAAATTCATAAAAATAAAGATGAACAATAAATGCTTAATTTTTAAAAAGTAAGAAAAAGAAAGGGAATAATTTTAGAACCAGAATGATAAATAAAAACCACAAACAAAGGGGTTCAAAGCTAATATATCAGGCATCACAGAAAATCTGAGGACTAAAAATCTAGCCTAGACCTTTTAAAGGCCCAGACACCTGCTACTTAAAATAAGCATGCCCTAAGAGCATACAAATACAGAAGGTTAAAAGTAAAAATATAGAAAAGGAGAATCAGTATCCCACCAGCTACCACAAGAAAGCTGGTGTTGTGGTATTAGGACCAAAGGGAAGCAAACTTCAAGAAAAAAAGAAAAAAGGCACACCTCAGAAGTTCAATGGAGCAGGAAGCCAAAGTAGCTTGAAATATTTCCGGAAATAACATCTCAAAGTATAATGTAAACATTGATAAAGTCAGAAGTATAGCAAAATCAATAATCATGCTAAGTTGTGTTAACAAGTCTGAGTTAAACTAAAAGAGAATGGGGAAGGATAAACCCGCTGACTTGCATAACGCAATCCACAAGCCCAAATTTCAGTGTTTATGCTGTCTTCAATAGGCAAGAAACATCAACAGAAGTTGAACATAGGCTGGTCCAAAAAGCCAGCCTCAGATTTCAAAGATCTGAAATTGTATAGAATGTGCTGTCTGTCATTCTTCTTTATGTCACAACCAGAAATGTTACCTTAAAAAATACCCAAACACTGTGGCATTTGTGAATTAAGCAACCCTTCAGAAATGTCTAGAATCAAAGAAGATGTCACAAGGAAAATCAGAATAATTTGAGAATGATAGATTAAAACCTGCAGAAGTCAACCAAGATGCAGTTTCAAAGAGAGCCACAACCTTAAATCTGTATATTAGAAACTCGGGCTTAATGATAGGAAAATCTGTCTCACAATGTTCATAAAATAATAGCAAATTAAAACCAAAAAATCAAATAAAGTAGTGGGGAGAACTAGACAAAAACAGAAATTGATGAAGCAAAGAAAGAACAAATTAATAAGAGATTTATGAGGTCTGCAATTAGTACCTTGAAAACATCTCTAAAATTGACCAACTCCTGGAAGAGTAATGAACTAAAGAAAAGAAGAAAGGGGAGCTAAAAGACACTGGAAATTAAATCCTATGGACATTCAAAAAGAAAATAGAAGTATATTTTAATAGTATCATCTTAGTGTATCAAAATCAAAATTTCTAAATGAGCACACCATATCAACTCTGTCACAAATAGAACTGGATAAGATGAATAGTTCTTTAGCTCTTAAAGACAACTGTATGTGACAATAAAACTTGTCCTCAGAGAATGTCTGTCCAAGTCCTGGGTGATGTCACTACTAAGGTCTGTATGTGTGTAATAGGAGAGCTAATGGGTTTATTACTTTCTAGTTTCTTCTAGAAATATGAAACATTTCTAGAGTAAAGAAAACTGAAGTTTCGCTCTATTTACTTTACAAAGCTAGACTGCTCATGTGTGAAAATCTGACATAGATATAACACAGGAAACAAGACTCAGAACATTCATGATACAAAAGCTAAATTAAAAAAAAAAATCTAGCAAGTTAAATGTTGAGTACATACCATACTGAGGGATTCCAGGAATCGAAGATGACTGTAAGATCCTCAAAGTGATCTTGTCATTTGCGGTGGTTTAAATGAAAAAGCCCCTATAAGCTCATGTGCTTGAATGTATGATCCCCAGTCTACGAAATTATTTGGGAAAGACTGGGAGGTGTGGCCTTGGAGGAGGTCTGTCACTGGGGGTGGGCCCAGCTAACACTATACACTTAAAAGAAAAAAACTCAATGAAGGACTGATGATCAGGCTTATCATTAAAGTGCTTGCATTAAAATCTAAGGACACCAGTTCAATCCTCAGGACCCACATGGTGAAGAGTGAGAACTGAGCCCCACAAGCTGTCTTAACATGCATGTCACAGCAGGTGCATGTACACACACACACACACACACACACACACACACACACACCACCACCACCACCAACAACAACAACCACCACCACCCCACCACACCACACTCATATTTAATTACAACAAGCAAACTCCAGAGGAACAAACACTATCATTCATCAGGAAATGCAGTAAAGACAGAACAGGATACAGTCTGTCACCTGAAGAGCAAACGTTACAAAGAGCAGGGCTGCCGGGAGCTGAGTGGCAAAGCTCTTGTCTTGCATGTGCAAAGCCCTGGGTTTCATCCCCAGCACTGAGGGATGAAGGGAGAGGAAGGAAGCGCAGGTTAATCACACCCTGCACTGTCAGATACAGACACATTGGAACGCTAGCATTGGTCATATTCTCTACGACCCAACTGCTCCATTCTTCTGCAGAACATTCCACAGAACTGCAAGCATGCATGAACCCAATGGCATGCACATGGAGGTGTACACTAGCTTTACTTTAACTGGAAACAACTCAAGAGTCTGACGATGATGGTGAAATACTATACAACAATTAAAATGGACGATGACCCAGAAATACAGACTGCAGTGTGGATGGTTCCCACAGGTTTACTATCGGTCCAAAGAGGCTAAAATACAAAATACTGCACACAGATGATTCAAATATGAAGTTCAGAAACAAGTAGAACTAATGTAATAGTCTAAATTAAGAAAGTAGTGATCCTGGGAATGAGGAAGGCATATTTTGGTTTGGTTTTTAAAGGTAACAGAGGAAGTCTTTGGAGCTAATGGTAATAATTAACCTTGACCTTGGTGGTAAAGGCAATTAAAGATGCATTTACTTTCTGACAACCCATCATCATTTGTCTACCTGTATGTCATTCATCTATTTTCTACATATATTTTAAGTTTCAATGAAAATACTTTAATACATGCCATTTGTTTCCCAAGACAAAGAAATGTGTAAAATCTGCTATAAGTTACAATAAAATGATAAGGAAAATTAAGAAATACAGCAAAAGACTTAGACAGATCTGAAGAGGATTAAAAAATAAACAATAAACTCAACAAATGGTCGATCCCATTGGTAATTAAGAGGAAAAAATAAAATAAAAACTACAAGGCAGCATTTCTTGCTCACCAAATTGATTTTTTTCCAACAGGGTCTCTGTCTCTCTGTCTCTCTCTCTCTGTCTTTCTCTCTCTCTCTCTCTCTCTCTCTCTCTCTCTCTCTCTCTATATATATATATATATATATATATATATATATATATATATTCCTTTCTGTTCCAGAACTCTCCATGAAGACCAGGCTAACAAACTCACAAAGCTGCCTCTGCTTCCTGAATCAAACTGAATTTTTAAAATTAAAGTTTACAAAGTTATCCTAACCTTACAAGGAATCGCCTATAGGCCTAGTGAGTCAATTTGATATAAAACTTTGGAAGCAACTTTTGACATTGGTGAAGCAGAATGAATTATTTATTTGTGCCTTTGCCATCTTGAGAATGTCACACTGTCAAAGATGCCAAAGACAGGTGTAAGAACAGTGATTTCCACATTTCACACCGGGAGCCAATGAACATAAGTGAAGATGAAGTCTGCTACAGGTGGGCTTTCAGAAGGACAAAAGGCTTTGTTTAAATGACCTTGCATGGGAAGATGGTTGTACCAGGTTAGGGAAAGAGAGGGTGGGAGTGATATGTTTACCCTGGAACGAGGACTACACACTGAAGCAGACAAGAGAGAAAAAAGTTAATAAATAATTTGTCAGTATAGATGAAACTTTCAGTGAAATGTGCCATTCCCTAGGAAACAAAATCCTACCAGAACTCAGCAAAGAAAAAAGGAAGACATTTGAGTAATTCTGTCACAGAACAAATGAGGATAGGGGACCTGACAGATGAAAAAAAAAAAAAAAAAAACCATAAAGGAAACTCACGACCCAAGCGGTTGGAAGCAAGCAGAGGGACCCGAGATCCAGTGTCGAACTATAGCTATTCTGCCAAGACAAAGCCAAGGTTAGAGTGAAAACGAGATGAGGAAAGATGAGCATGAGAAAATGTTCACATTTCAAAGGCTAAGATGCAGATGTTAACTTCCAAATACAGTGTTATATGAGGCTGCGACCAGAACTGGTAGTGGCAGCCACCTGCTGGGGGCAGTGTGTAGTGAGTAACACGGAACAGGAATGGCAGGGGGCTTTTCATAGGTGTGACTTCGTATAATTCCTAATTTTTATAGCACCGGGACATCACAGTCACCCAAACAAACCAATGTGAGTGAAAAAAAGATAGCAAGAAGAGCCTGAAAAAAATGGATAATTGGGAGTATAGAGAAAACACAACCATATTACAAAACAATAGCAATCATAAGTTTAAAGTAGTTACCAGGGTCACAACCACTTGTTGTCTTAGACATACGAAATACCAAATTTGCCCTGAAGGACTTAATTTTCCCTTGAAAAGAAAGTGGATTTTATAGAAGAGGAGAAAATAGTATCAATAGAGGTTTTATGTTGTTGCCTTTTTGTTTTTACCTTATACCACTTTATTGAATCCAAAATACAGCTGTCTGGGAAGTAGAGATGACACATCAGACTGCCCGATTTCCCCATGGGTAAGGTTTGTTGATACTCATCCGATGAACTTATGGGGCTCTCCATGGAAGAATCACACCACTGCTTTCTAAAAACAGTTAGGTTCACAGCTATTTGGAAACAGCTGTGGGCATCCCTATAAGAAAACAGGTTGAACCCAGTGAATGCTTACACAGTCCCAGAATTCAATCCGCCATTTTCACATCTTTCCCAATTCTTTTCTAGACATTCATAGACCCTATGTCTCCTACGAAATAACAAGCAGCCCACAAACCATGCATCACCCAAGGATAAGTGGTATTTGTGCAGTGGAGACAGTGGCATCTCATTTGGTCCGGCCCAGGAGGGGCCAATGAACACCAAGGGCCTCTGGCACTGTTTCTCTGAAGAGACTAGACAGTGTTTGCGCCGGATTCATTGCAGCCACAAAAGCCACCTACACTTACTCCTAAAGAAGTAACTGATAAATCAGAGGATTTGGTGAAATATAAAACAACTCTCTGTAATTCTTTAAAATGTCAATGGTGTGAAATCCAAAGACCCAGAGCTGCTCCAGATTAACAGAGATTAAAGGTACATGGGACACACCCAATCTACAGGTGGGAAAAGCAAGGTTTGGAGAGATAGCATGATATGTTGTTGTTGGTCAAGCTAATGTGGGAAGTCTCAAAATTAGACCTCTCTATCCAAACGTGATTTCCAGGTGGGTTTTACCAAAATCTTGAAAAGCTTTACAAACTGAAAAGGAGAGGGAGGAAGAGGGACGAGAGACAGACAGAGAATATATGAGCAAAAGGAGCACCTTTGGTGGGGCATGTGCTTCCAACTGACTATAGTTCTCTCCAAGCTCAACTGTCTTTCACGGAAATAGTTCAAAAGGCCACTGTCACTCAATGGCATTACGTCTGGCACATGGGCTAGTGTAGACTCTAGAACATCTCCCAGGCTGGCTACCTTTTCAATGCCAGCTTTAAGCAGGTGCCTTACGAAAAGTTTTTGAAGGAGGCTCATTTTGATCTGGATCAACCAGTGGTGAAAAAACTTCCGGTATTCTGAGGAAATGGCAGTGATAATATTGATATCAGCATACCTTGTAAGCTGGTCTGGGCTGAAACATCATTTCAATGAAAAGGATGTAACCTGTGCTCCAAAGTTGATTCATAAATCTGTAACTTGTGCTCCAAAACTGATTCATAAATCTGTTCTGCTCTCAAATGTGCTCGCTGGAAGTCACCTCATAACTGTTTAAGGCCATCCTGAAATGTTGACTCAATGCACTTTGCCTCGACACACATCCTTGCTGGTTGTGGCGGCTCACACCTGTCATTTAGTACTTCAGGGGCTTGGGTAAGATGGAAACTGGTCTAGGCTATGTAAAGTGTCTCAAAAATCAAGGTTAATAATACCCAGTTTCTTCAAAGATGTATATAGAAAGTATATAGAATAAAGAGGGTAGTGTGTGAATTGGTTCTCCTTTAAATGAACTTACCTTATAACACACTGGTAGATGCCCGAGTCCTCATTTGCCAAGGGAAGAAACAAAATCCAGGTCCCGTCCTGGTGATTTCTAAGCTGTCTGTTATGGGAGAGTGGACTTTGGTTGGGTGTTTTGTACCATGTCAGATTGACTGCCCCGTTTGTTGCAGGAGGGTATGAGCAATTGAAAGCAAAAGGCTGGCCCTCTGAAATGATCTCATAGTACATATCAGCCTCTTTACAACTCCCTAGGGAAGAAAAAGAAAGGACAAGAAACACCATGACAGAAAACTGGTGTCATTACTCATGTTAGAAAACATCTTGTTCTGGGCAACATGAATTTTTATTTGGGAGTTTCCAAACCCAGTCCTTTAGGAGCACAATGCCAAGGCCTTCGAACGTATCACGAAGACAGGCCTTCTGCAGGCCCTCCACAAAACCACCACTCCCTTCTGCCTTTATTCTTCTATTCTTCCGTCCTTAGTTCCCTCTTCTCCTCCTCAGCCCCGACCCATCCTGGTCATCTGTTCTTCCCGGACTTGCAGTCCGTTACTGCCTTGAATAAAAGGCATCCTCCTCCCACAGTGGATGGTTTTAAAGACGCCTTCCTTTTAAAGCCCATGTCTACCAAGTTAGTTTTTCTTAGAAATGTGTTCTGTCTCTGGTAGCTTTGGACCATAAAATAACCCGTTCGTTATACAAAATAGACGCCACTAGTAATCCAGCCACTTCAGCACTTGGAATTGAGTCCACGGGCATTTGGACTTCTCCATATCACCTAAATTACTCCAAAGTTCCAAGGTGACATTTGGGCTTGAGCCTCCAAGAACTTGGGAATGAATTTTTTTTTTTTTTCTATTTCCCCATGTCTTGGACTCTGCCTACCAGATCATCTGGGGGCAAGAGTGATAAGCAAGGCTGGGCCTTAGATGATACCTTGAAGGTAGGTCAGAGGCCTGGAGACGGGTAACAATGGATGCTCCCCCCAAGGTGACAGGCCGCTGGGACCCAAAAACTCACAAAACAAACGTACGTACCTGCTGCTGTCACAAAATGTGGAAGCATGAAAGACACCCCGCAAAGCAGCAAGGGCAACATCCCCATTTTGAGCTACAGGGGATAAAAGAAGACGATAGGAAAAGTAAGAGGGGCAGCTGGGCTGGGTGCATCTTCCCACAGGCATCAAGGCTCAGACTTCTGAGAACTCAGTCCTCCACGTTGGCCTCACCATCCCAACGCTGGCCCGCCCCCACCCTTATTCCACACCACTTTTCTGTGCCAGACCCTCAGAAGCCAGGAAACTCAGACTGGCCTGTAGAGGGGACCAGTGGGGAAGGGTGGGAGACAGGGGCAGGCAGATATAGTGGCATGTCTTTCTGTCACTTTAGAGCGATCCCACTGCAGCCAAAGCAGGCTACGGACCCGCCCAGCGCGCGCCTGAGATTCGCCTGAGATAGCTGAGCTCCCCGGAAACCGCGGACTCTCGCTGGCTGAGCAGTGGTCTCAGGTCCACCTGGGAAGAGCGGGCAGGAAGCGGAGAGAATAACCCGAGCCTGAAGACCCCCCCAACTCACGTTCAGGCTCCACGCCTGGGCAGGGACAGTCACCAAAGCCGCCCCAGTGGGATCGCTGGCTCCCCTCTGCCCTTCCCTAGCATCGATGCTGCCCAGGGAAGGGGTAGCAGGGGAGGAGGGGGGAATCCACCTGCCTATGGGATCGCAGAGCACGGGGTCTCCTAGAGCAGAGCGGGAACCCCGCCAGGGACCAGATCCCCGCCAGTCACCGCATTCCACAGCCTGGGCATGCCTCTCTGCCGCGGGCGGGCGGAGCAGACTCACCTTCCCCAAGTGGAGCAGGACAGAAAGAACCCAGCCCTAGAGAGACGGTCAATCTTTTTTGCCTGATTCCAAACTAACATGTTCATCTATCGGGAATGTCAGCTTAAATCTGCTCCAGATTATCGCTTTAAAAAAAAAAAATCCTTTCCTTTCCAACTCTATTAGAGCAGTTCTTACATACCCAGCACTGCCCTAATATGGACTATCCCAGAAGTGGAAGAAGCCATTCCCCATGGCATCTGGGGAAAGGCATTAACCCTCTGTCGTCACACTAGATCTATAAAGCAGACATCCTATCCTACAGGTTGAGCACCGCTCCTGTCTAAACTCGCCTTAAAGCGCTGCTCACCTAGACCTGTTGTCCCCGAGGCACCGGAGACCCTCCAACCCCCACCCCACTGGGTATGGGTAAGAGGAAGACATCCAGTACAATCAGTCCACCAGCTTCTTAGCCGGGCTTTCCTAGTGGTCTTTGTGGAATTGGGGACAGTGAGACTTTCACAACAACCACAGCATCGGTCTTTTCTGTGAGCTGTCCCAAGCTCCCGAAGTTAAGGTGGACAGGTGCCGCCCAACATGCCTTACCAGAAGTCCTCGGGACCTCATCCTTACTTACACTTCCTGGATGATTCTCTCTGTGTCGAATAAGTATTTTGACTCATGAAGAATCAATCACTGGGCTTGGGATACAGGACAGATTTGAGGATTGCGAGCTTTTCAACAAACAACATGAAATTAAGCAAAATAAGAAACAGTCTAAGAAACAGATGCTACAGATTCTGCCAGTATGGAATTTAAATAAAAAGAAAACTCAAATGTGGAAGAAACCGGTAAGGGGAGGCTAGATTTGATCAGTATAAACCGAACACCAGTCATGTAAACAATTAACACAGAACTGATTAAAGTTTTAAAAATGAAAATGAGAAACTGTAACATGTTTGCTTGCAGAATCTCCTAGAACAGCAGGTAGGAAGGAAATGAATGAGCACTTGCAGAGAGGTCCAAAGAACAACTTTAGCTTTGCTTGTGACGGCCAGAAGAAAGCCTGCTTTGGGAGAACTTTGCGAATTCAGTCTCTTCCCTTGTCCACTCTGCTTTTCACTTTCATGTCTTTCCAGTTAAGTGTGTGCCGTGCAGTTGTTAAGGGCAACGTGATTCCAAGCAAGTCGTGTCATGTAAGCAGCAAACGAGGAAGGAATCTTCTCCCAGCTTCCTGTAACTATCCTCCATGCCCAAATTGTGGGATTTAAACATTCGAGGTGTCGTCCTTCTTCATACAGGCATGCTGTTACATAGTATACAGTTGTATGAGCATGTGCAACCTGCACGTCCCTCTCCTTCAGCCAAAGTTGTGGTTGTTCCAACTTTCCATTTTGCTATTCATTGTAAAGAGTGTTGCTGTGTCAGCCTGGCAATGTCCTCTTGCGTGTTTGAGAGCAGTCCCCAGATTATTAAATGAGTGTGTCTTCATCGGCATTGGCAGACCTCTAATTGTTTCCATGGTAGCATCCTCCAGAGAAGGATTTCATTGCCCGGTGTTCCTGCCAAACATTAAATGCATTCCCAATGTGCCCGATGACACAAACAGGGCTTAGAGATGTGGACCCTTCCAAAGCGTGCAGTCGTGTTGTTTTCTGGTAAATCCAGTTCTAAAGGATAGTCAACAATTAAGAAGCACATCAGATAGCAAATCCGATGAGAAGATAGGAAGGGTGTCACAGTCATAGCCTTGCTCCCGAGCAGTGGCCTGGAGCCCAGCAGGGACACAACTGGGAGAAGTATTCTCCTTTTCTTTTTTAAGGTTTGTTTTTATTATTTTTAATCATGCATGAGAGTGCAGGTAATCATGGGTCCAGAAGAGGATGTCAGATCCCTTGGGGTTGGAATTACAGGGGGTAGTAAGCTACCTGATAGAGGTTCTGGGAACCAAACTGGTCTTCTGCAACAGCTGAGCTGTGCCCCCTGCCTGGGAGAGCTCTCCTGGAGAACAAAAAAATCAGAACAGAGTTTGGAGAAATCCAACAAAACTGAAATGAATGTAATGTGGTCACCACAGCAAAGAAGGGGAGAGTTAGGTAAACAAAGGTGTGGAAGGAGATGTGGGCAAGGTCACATGGGGCAGAGAACAACGGTAGAATGGCTGAGTTTATTACAGGTAAAATTAAAAGATGTTAGAATACTTACATCAGGAAAGTATAATCTCAAACTCATTGTTTCAATGTTATCTTTACCACTAAAGACCACCAAAAGAGACCACTAAATGGACTCCGTGGCCATGAGTTTTAAAAACAAAGAACACTTGAAGTTGGGAAGGAATGGTATGGTGTGGGGTAGGGGACAATCTGAGGAAGGAAAGAGGTAGCCATCATATTCAAAACCAGGTTAAGTTGGTATATGCTACTGAACATCAGGATAGTGTGTTCCCTTGGGACACTGGTGGGGGGCGTTGGGACCTAGACCAGCAGGTCATTCTTCAGTAACAAGGTCCTGAGAGAGAGGACCAGGAGATCAGAAGATAGAGAGGATAGAAGATAAGAAAGTTTGGCATCAGGAAGTCTGGAACAGGCTACGCCTTACGCCACACACGCTTATTAAAAAGTGCAGCACCTTATATACTTTTCCAGGGGAGAAATGGGGTGGTCGGAAGGAGCTACCATACAGTGGGACGAGGTCAGCAGGAAGCTAATCAAACAATGTTGCACAAGGAGAATGTGGGGTATCTCCAGAACATTACAGACCAAGCTCACAGTGGCCTTGAGACTGATAAGCAATAGCCCCATACAGTGGGAGGAGTTGGGTTCTCAGCATCTGAAGCCACGGCTCCCCCGGGGCACTGGCCCCAGGCCACTACTGGCTCAACCAAGTAGATTCCTGGCTTAGAGAAGGAGCTATGTTCTTTCTCCATGCATCAGGGCCTCCAGGAAAGCCTCAGTTGAACAGGCAGACAAGCTATCTATCAACAGATACCCAAGGAAGATGTTCCCTTATTGGGGTCTTTTTTGGACCTACATGCTTGTGACATTGGTTTGCTCTCTTATTGCATTTTTCAGACCTGCACCCCAATAAATCAAGAAAATCCCTTGGGAAAAACTCTTAGGAGGTAGGGTTACAAGGCCCCAGTCAGGTGGCTCCTACACAGCCTATGAAATAGGTGATGTGGCTGGGGTTTACCCATGACAGTGGAGATTAATATCTGGAGACACAGTTTGGGTCTATACCAATGTCTCAGCTCTTTCTCAATATCAGTCTAACTTGTATGAAATTTAGAGAGCAGCAAACCACACAATGGAGTAGAACCTAAAGCCTGGACATCTGTCGGGTAGAGTGGCAAATACCTGATTCTAGATGGGCCACTGCCTGGTATAATAACCAGCACCATGGTATAATAATAATCCAGCTTAATGGATTCTGTGTTATATTTACACTCACGCCCATGCAGGCACACATTCACAAAGTTCTTCAGCTTGTGCTTGAAGGAATCCACTGCCTCCAAGACATCCCACTCCAAAGTAGAGTCCTGTAAGCAGATCACTTCCCCCTGTAGAAAAAGGAAGCCTGCCTGTGTGGCTTTCAGTTGGGAACTCTTGTTCGGTACTCTAGGTCTGTAGAAAGAGGAACCTAGTTTGTCTCATAACTGTGTATCTAACTTTACTGTGATTCCTCGATGACCCTCCTTTCCAGAACAAGAAACCAAAGTCAGAGGTGCAGACAAGTCTTCAGGACCCTCACCTTTAGCTGACAGCTCCTGGTCCTTCAAGCCTGAACAGCAGGGAGCAATCTTTCCTAGCACTCTGCAGGGGAGGCTTATAGTCACAGGACCCACAAGCTGGTGGCATATTTTGGTTCCACCCAGCATGACCATTAACAACCCAGATCCTTTCTTAATCTGGCTGTTCCTGGGCCATGTTTTCAAACCAGCCGTGACGTATTTCCATATCAAAAATGAAAGAGCTCATATCTATCCCGCATCAGTGCCATCTGGAGAAAGTGGGTGGTTAGAGCACCTGCTGCCTCCTGTCTCAGCATTATTGCTCACAGATGAGGGCTGGCGAGAACTGGGAGCAAAGGCTGTCCCAGAGGCCAGGTACTTCTAAATACAGCTTTTGGACACATTAATGCTTAACTGAAGAAATACTCATCTCAAAGGATATTGTTTTTGACCACCAAATTTGCAATGATGTCCAGATGAGTACTCAATTCCACTACTGCCCTGCATGTGAAAGTGCTGTGCAAAGTCTCTGGGGAGTGTAGTCAGCCAAGAACCTGAAAAACCCATGTCCTGTGCAGTCACGCCAAGTAAATCACCAGGGAGGGGACCAAAGTTATTTTCGGAAGGATGTTTTGTCATTTAGGCTGTGTATATTTAAAAACGGGGAGGGGAGGGAATCTAGATAGCCAACAAAAACAGAAAAGCCATCCATTTGGCAGCCTTAATAACAACTTAGAGAGCATTCTTCAAATACATTATCATGAACAAAGATTTGGGCTAAGTTTTTGTGTGGATGTGAATGTGGATGTGTGTGTGTGTATAGGGGTGTGTGTGTGTGTGTGTGTGTGTGTGTGTGTGTGTGTGTGTGTGCAAATGACATGGCACACATTTAGAAGTCAGAGGATAACTTTTAGGAGTTAGTCCTTGACTTTCAACCTTTCATTTTTAACTTTATTTTATTTAGTTGGTTACTTAATTTTTCTTATCTTCATCATCTCTGGTGGACTGGAGACAGGTGGGGATGAGAAGAGAAGGGATCAGAGTCAGGGGAGGGATGGAGGAAGAGAGCACTGGGAGAGACAACTGGAAATGGGGGGGTACTTGGGGGATGAAGTAGAAATGTAGTGCAATGGAAACTCCCTGAAATCTACGAGGGTGACCCTAGAGCAAATTTCTAGTAATGGGGGACACAGAGCTTGAATGAACTGGCCATCTTCTGTAACCAGGCAAGGCTTCCACTTGAGGACCAGAACACCAACCCAGCCACAAAGCCTTCTACCTACAATTTGCCCTGCCTGCAAGATGTGCTGGAGTCAAGATGGCGCAGAACTTGTGGGAGTGGCCAAACAATGATCTAACTTGAGAGGGAGTCTACACCTGATACTGCCTGGATGGCCAGCAACCAGATGCTGAATAGCCCAGAGAGCCAGGGTAGAAACAAACACGACTTGCCAAAATAAAAGTCAATGACATGATTCCTAATGATATTCTGCTAAACTTATAACTCATAGAGTGGAGCCTAGCAAAATTGTCATCAGAGAGGCTTCATCCAGCAACTGATGGGAGCAGATGCAAAGACCCACAGTTAAACATTAGGCTGAGCTCAGAAAATCCCATGGAGAAGGGAGAGGAAGAATTGTAGGAGACAGAGGGGGGTCAAGGATACCAGGAAAACACAGCCCACAGACTAACCAGGGCTCATAGGAGCTCACAGAAACTGAACTGACATTCGGGGAGCCTGCATGGGTCTGACCTAGGTCCTCTGCATATATGTTATAGTTATCTAGCTTGAAGTTCCTGTGGGACTCATAACAGTGGGAGCTGTCTCTGTCTCTTTTGCCTGCTCTGGGGACCCTTTTCCTCCTACTGGGTCGTTTCGTCCAGCCTCAATATGATGTATGTACCTAATCTTATTGTAACTTGCTATGCCGTATTTGGTTGATAGCCCTGGGAGCCTGGCTCATCTCTGAAGGGAAAGGAGGAGAAGTGAATCTGGGGGAGAAGGGAGGTTTTCAGGAAGGGGCTGAGAGGAGGGGAGGGAGAGGAAACTGGTTAGGATGTAATAATGAGAGAAGAAAAAACAAATGAATTTCCATGGCCACTGCCTAGTGGCTTTTCCCTCTCAGCTTTTGATGTCTTGGGTGGGAGAAAAGAGCGTGCATGCTAGACAAGCATTCTAGGATGGAGCCTTCTCCTTCCCCTTATAATAATGCCACCTAATTTCTCTATGCCTATAATGAGCACTTAACCAATTACCCTCGGAGAAAACTTACTTCAAAGGTTACAGTCAAAATAAGTCAGTGAAGGATGTAAGACATTTTATCATGCAGAGATGCGTAAGGGGAGCCCACTGCTCACTTTGGCACTGGGCAGGTGTTAAATATTGTTAAAGCACCATTGAAATATGTTAAAAATTGCTGTTGGTGTTAATGCTGGGTTCCTTAAGATCTTATTGTAAGCATTGTAAGCACTCCTGGTGAGTTTCCTGTAGATGAGCAAAGATACTTAGAAGAGGCGATCTGACGGCCTAATTTGCTACGGCTAATCTGGCTGCTCTGGTTGCCTTCAGGAAATGGACTGTCAGTCACATAACCAGCCTGACTATACTTGGGACAACAGTGGCCATTTTGAACTCTCCGTGGATGCCTTGAGAAA